CGCGAAAGTCTGAAATGGTGAACTTACACCAAGCTAGAGAGATGTTGGTTTTTGGATATTTCTTCAATCTACTGGATGACTACGAATTTATGTTGCTATATGACATCAACAAACCATCAAATCCGGATTTTCAATACAAAGAATACAGCAAAGTTGATCTGAATGATTTAAATGACGATGATTGCAATGCATATTTCAGGTAAGTAATACGGGTGTAACCTACCCTACTGACCGTGCTGTGTAAGCCTAACCTACTGTCTGAATTGAACTTGAAGTTCTGAGTGTGAACTAATAGTTTTAATCAACATCTATTTATATGCTGGCAGCTAGTAATTTAGTATTACTAGACCCCTATAGGGTCTAGACTTATATCTAGGGCCTTTGCATTCATAAAAACTGCAAAAAAATCAATAGATTTTGTTGATGCCCGTTTCAAACTGACTCTGTGTGTGTGATTAGGTTTTACAGACGTGTATCAATCAGATATGATTATTTACATCTGGGGACAGACTTTCAAGTCATCACCATCTGAAAGACGCGACTGAGACTCGAACCGGGGTCCGTCAGAGTCGAATTGTAGGCTGAGACAAAAAGCTGGCCATACTCTGCTACACCAACTCACATCTCCATGAGTCTCTGAGTCTTACTGGCCTAGTCTAGACTAAGACTAAGAAGAGTCATTTTGAAAACGGGCTTACCATTATTAATAATTAAACTTTGTGTTCGAAATGATATGTCTGTGACTGAGAAATTTACCAATATTTAAAGAAAGGAGGCATGGCACGCAAAGTGCATCTTGCCATTTTCATGTGGCTATGATTATGTTGTGAAATGATAAGCAATTACAAAATTAGTTTCTGTTTGAGTGATCACACTTTGCCTGCCAAATTTTCTCAAAATTAATTTTCCTACATACAAATGCCTCAATTACATGGGCGTAAATCCTTACGTAATACCTATTGTTCAGGGGGGGGATGAAAAGATCATCCCCCCCCCCCCTGAACAATAGGTATTACGAAAGGATTTTCGCCCATGCTCACTTATGTACATGTCATTGAAGAAGTGTGAGTGGGTTTCTGTAACCTACCGGTATATGTATAACACTTTTATTCAAATTATAAATATCCACACCACCTATTCTAAAGCCGTTTAAAAATGTAGATACCAGTGGAAAAAGATTTCTTTAGTTTTCAACCTTGTCTGAATTTGTGGAATTTTGTACAATTATCAAATATTTATGGACTCTTTGTTTTATCCTTCACTCAGGTTCTTGAAGGATGATCTTCCAAGATTGAAGGATGCTTTGTTAATCCCTGACATAGTAAAGTGCAAGAACGGATTAATCGTCAATGGCCTGGAGGGGCTGTGCATTTTGTTGGCCCGATATGCTTACCCGTGTCGGTATTGTGACGTGATGAAGACATTTTCAAAATCTGTACCACAGTTGAGCCTGATCTGCGCATCCATGACAGAGCTCATCCATGACAACTGCCATCATCTGTTGGAGAATCTGGACCAAGAGTGGCTGTCACCAGTAAATCTTAGCAGATATGCCACAGCAGTCTACCGTAAGGGCGCAGCTATACAGAACTGTTGGGGTTTCGTAGACGGGACTGTTCGACCAATCTGCAGACCCAAAGAATACCAAAGGGTTATGTACAATGGCCACAAGCGCCTCCATGCTCTGAAGTTCCAGTCCGTCGTTGCAGCTATTGGGCTAATAGCCAATTTGTTTGGCCCTGTTGAAGGCAGAAGGCACGACTGCTTCATGTTGAGGGAGTCTGGACAGAACTGGAGCAGAGATCCTTCGACCCAAAGGGCAACATATTATGTATATATGGCGATCCTGCATATCTTCTCCGGGCTCATCTCCAGGCACCCTTTAAAGGGAACAACTTGACTGAAACACAATCATCAATAAGCAGTGTAAGGATTTCTGTGGAGTGGTTGCTCGGAGATATCATTAGCTACTTCAAGTTTGTTGACTTTAAGAAGTCCCAAAAAGCTGGCCTGTCAGCATGCGGCAGAATGTATACTGTTTGCACTCTCCTAACAAATGCCCATACCTGTCTGTATGGTAACTCTACATCAAAGTATTTTGAAGTAGACCCTCCAACATTGGAGGAATATTTTCAAGTTGCGGCTTGATTTTGATAAGCTTGATTTGTGCATGAGGCAGAGTTTTACTCTCAATTGTTTATATATATGCTTTTTATTCCTTCCATCTGTTGACAGGCCTACATGTATATTGCGGCAAGTCAACCTCAGAAAACAAACCTGAAATTACCTTTTATTCTTCTTCTAAACTATGGCATTGCAACTGATTGTTTCCTTTCATTACACACTTCTGTCCTCTGCTGTTCTTTCTCGCATACATTTGTTATACTGTAATGTATTATTTTTTAAACCATGCCATCCAATACTTGTACATTTATTAGACTATGTTATATGATATTTTATGCTGTTCAGTTTATATTTGTCTCATGCCTGTGGTGGCCAAATTCAAGAAGAATATAGGGGAATGACCTGCTTTTTGTGAAGTGTCCGATTTTGTTATCAAGGATTCGTTCAAGAATAGTAGTTTTATGTTCTTATGACATTTCTAGCCTTTTTACCAATGTACCTCTGGTTGAAGCAATCGATGGATTGGATCCGCCACTGTGTAGTGAATCAATATTATAGACCATAGTTCATGTAACAGTATATGAACATGATATCCATGTTGCATTGGTTGAAAAATTGAAGAAATTCTTTTAAGTAAAGCTTTGAAAGAGTACTAAATAAAACAGAAATTGTTCTAGTAGGGCACTAAATTAATTGCATAAAAATCTTCAACAGATGATTTCATCTGTAATAGAAGATGTTTTTAGGCGCAACCTCATGAAAGACCTGGTATATGAATTAAGTGCTTTTTTTTTAATGGATATAATTTTTCCCCAAAACTGTCAGTTTTGAGATTGCGTATTTGTTTTTGCTTTGTTTTGTTTTTTATTTTTTTATTCCGGTTATCTTGAGTAGGCCTATGTGAATTAATTAAATTTCCTTGATTCACTTTTTTTTTTTGCTTTGCTTTGTTCTGCTTTGCTTCACTCCTTTTGTACTGAAATAATATAACATGCAAGGTAATACAGCTATTTGCAATCCTATGAATGTGGTGTACATTTTATTGGTATCTTGATGTAAATAATTTTTTTTTTTATTTAATTCTGTGAAGGAAAAAAAAAAGAGTCCTTAGATATGATAAGTCAAAAATTTGATTCCTGTTGCCATTTTTTGTAAGGTTATATTTATATTACATTATAATGTTTTCTCATACTTTTCCCTCCAGATCACAAAAGCTTCCAGAAAACCACCAAAGGCAAGGAACTCAGACGTTGGAAAAGCAGAAATGGAAGCCACGCCAGAGTTACCCAAGTCATCCAGCATATATACAGATTACTCCTACTCTACACTACAAAGTCCTAGAGCAGTAAAAAGGAAGCTAGATGGAGCTGTAGACCAAATTGATCATCTCCAGAAGAAGGTGAAGACCCTGCAGCAAAAGTCGCGTAGATTGGGAAAGAAAGTCACAGATCTGCAGGAGGTTGTGGACACATTGAGGGACAAAAACATGCTTTCAGCGAATGGGGCAGAAATCCTTTCAAAGACTTTTTCGGATGTCCAAGCAGATATAATGAAAAGGATGGTGGCAGATAAGTCTAGTGGGAAACTAAGTAGGAAAGCATAACCCCCAGCGCTGAGAGCCTTTGCACTAACTTTGAACTTGTATAGTGCAAAAGCATACAGATACGTGAGAAAATGTTTCAACTTTGCCCTACCCCATCCATCAGTTATCAGGCAGTGGTACTCTGGAGTAAAATGGGAACCAGGGTTCACCGAGGAGTCGTTTTCTGCTCTGAGGCTGAAGGTAGAACAAGCCAAGGACAAAGGTAATGAAGTTGTCTGTGCCCTCATGATGGATGAGATGGCCATCAAGAAACATATTGAATGGGACGGCTCAAAGTTTCACGGATATGTAGACGTAGGCGTCGATATTCAAGATGACACAACTCCGCCTGCTCATGATGCTCTCGTTCTGATGGTTGTGGCTCTGAACAGCAATTGGAAGCTTCCGGTCAGGTATTTCCTTGTGAACGGTTTGTCTGGAGCAGAAAGGGCCAACCTTGTCCAGCAATGCCTGACACGTCTCCATGATGTCGGCGTCAACTGTGTCTCACTGACATGTGACGGTCCATCCTGCTAGAAATTCTTAATTCTTATTTTCAAATGTTGGCAGGTATGTTATCAGTGTCTGTAATATGGTGTAATATTGAAGCCCTAAAAAAATTGCGCTTCAAAATGATCATGAAGTGCCTCAAAAAAGTAAAAATCTTTGAGGGACCGGTTTTACCAAACTCATTTTCTCCAATAGACTGTAATGTTAAAAAAAATGAAATTTTGATTTCCATTCATAAATACCTTGATAATCAGACAGGCCATCGGGCTCGTAAAAGTCATGGGATTCCTGATTGACCTAAAGGTTTATACGGTAATTATGATTGCAGCATGAGCTAAATCCAGGGTTTTGTTTAAGAATCTGAGGCAATGTTACTGAGTCACTTTAATAAAGGGCAAGCATAACCAATTTTCAAGTTGTATTGAATTTCAAATAGAGAAAAATTAAACAAACATAAGAATGAAAGTTTCATCAAAATCAGACAAAAAATAAGAAAGTTATGAAATTTCAGAGTTTAGCATAATATCCTAATATCATTCCTCTTTGATTCAGCGTACGGGCAGATCCCAACTGGTTTCCAGAACAATGTCATAGTGCAGTAGAAATGGAGTACCTCTCCCTCTCATAGACGTAATGCAAGTCCAGATTAAAACAAATTTTAACTGATCACATAAAAGTAACAAAAGGTAATCAAATCATGTATCATCATACTTTTTATATTAGTGTAAGAAATGAATGCTTTCGACTAATTCCTTTACAGCAAAGATTCCTTTACAGCAAAGATTCCAACTGGTTCCAGATCTCATCTGGTAGATGAACTGACAATGTATCTTTCTCTTGTTTAACGATACAAGGCATCAACTGGATACAAAAGCGCTTCTTTATGATCTCACCACCTAAGAATGACTAATGTAGTTCACATCATACTTTCACATTTGTACAGGAATTAGATGCCTTCAAATTGTTCCTTTTAAGCATACTTCCCAACTGGCGTCCAGGTCCCATCTCGTAGGTGAACGGAAACGGCGTTCCTTTCCCTCTCTCGTAGATGCAATGCATGGTCTGTTCCCACAACACTGGCTCCACAACCTGCTTCTTGAGTTGCTTGCGGATGTGCGCTGGACCGCCGTACGGTTTACCGTCCACGTTGGAGTGGATGCAGATGACTGGTGTTTCTATGGTAACTGCATTCAGAGCTTTTGAAATGGGCTGCTGAGCGCTGGACATGAGGGATGTATGGAAGGCACCGCTGACCGGGATGGGCTTGACCGCTCGTAGGTAGAATGACTTGGACTCCTCCTTGATGAAGGAAAGAGCCTGGGGAAAGGGTTGAAAAAGAAATAACAACTTGTTAATAAAGTCAACCCTGGTGTTGCGACCACCTGTCTACAAAGATGACATTTTTTTCTCCCTTGAAAATGGTTTCTCATTGTAACATGTACGAAAGGAACCTGTACATAAAGACAAACTGTCTGTAAAGACCACTATCCCTTGGTAGTCTTTATAGATGGGCTTCACTACATCATACTTTTCATCCTTTCAGAACCATATCATGTACCATCAGCCATTTACCCAATGGAAGATACAGTAAGTTACATACCGGTACTATTTTCACTGATTTCAGGCTGGTATTACACAACTTTCCCAAGTAAGAACATCCTTCCATCAATTTCTTTTTCTTTCAAGGAAAAAAAACCCTCATATTATCAGCATGTTGTATTAAAATCAGAAATATATTCTGCGATCATACACTGACTTGAGAAAAAGAAAATTACCAGTGAGCAGAACCGATTCTTAACGTTTCTTATAAAGTACAAAGGTAAAAAACCTAGGGTATTTGTTCTGTATTGTGAAAGTTTAACACTTCATAATTTCGATCTCACCCACAAACAAGGAATTTTTGTTCCCAATGAAATTCCACTTTTTTTTTCTTCTTCAATTTCTATGAGGTTCAATAAAATCAAAACAATACAAAGATTGTATTATTGCATATCTAATTACCCAAACATCCTCTTTTCAGTCTCTCAAGATGCAAGATAAGTCCATGGACTGATTGAATACATCTGCCTTCTTTGTGGACTTCAGCAAAATCAAATGCACACAGTTAGAGGATGAATAAATCCAATTTTGTTTCCACTTCCAAGTGACTCTTAGCAGTCAATCTTTGGCGTTTAAAATTTTAGGCATTCATAAGTTAAGAGTCCTATAAGAGATGTCGCACCAGCAAAAGGGTACTTTCTTTCAGTCAAAGGGAAATTAATTATTGGAATGACCTTTCTGCTGACATTGTTGAGGCATCATCGGTCAATGTTTTTAAGTCCAAACCCAATGACCGCTGGAAACAGAAGTGTAACAAGTTTGAACCTTAGTTGTTAGAACTTAATTTTCACCCTGCGTAAGAATTGATTTGATGAGCTTTACATGATCAGGAACCGACCTATTGAATGGCCCCCTACAAGTCTTAAAGGGATTGGGTATCTTTGCCTCAGATTCTAAACAAAATCCTGGATTTAGCTCTGAATGCTGCAATCATAATTATAAACCTTTAGGTCAGTCAGTCCCATGACTTTCACAAGCCATTCGCCTGGCTGATTATCAAGATATTTATGATTGGAAATCGTAATTCCAAAAACCAGAAAACGTTTTTTATAACACTACAGTCTATTGGGAGAAATGAGTATGGTAAAACCGGTCACTCAAAGATTTTTAATTTTTTGAGGTACCTCATGATCATTTTGAAGCGCCATTTTTTTTAGGGCTTCAATATAACACCATATCACAGACACTGATAACACGTAGGACCATGCATCTCAGATTTAACATTGTTAAACGACGCCTTTAAGACTTTATATGGGTGTCATCATAGGCAATTCAGGTAATAATCACCTCTGTGTGTCCTGCCAGCACTCTAGCATCGGGGTAGAGATAGTTGGCTACCCGGCACACAGGATGAGTGATGCCATGGCGATTCCTGCAGTGGTTCTCGGCTTCCTTGCAAACATACTTGTACCTTGCCTTCTTCCCTCCCATGACTGATATCATCCCACTGGAGACGGCCTCGGAGGCACGCTGCATCGCTTCCGCTCGTACCTTGATCAGGTATATGGCTGGTAGAGTGAAAAGGGTAAAAAAAAAGGAGAGAAAAGAAAATGAGTGAAATTTCTAAATAGTCCTAGACCTGATTGGTGACATTTCTTTTAAGGGAAATGGGCTGTTAAGACAAATAAGACTATTCTTTTCTTTTATTTTCAAGCTCACTAGTTTGTGTTAGGGTAAGGACTATCCTGAGAATGGGCTGAGAGAGTCAGGGAACCAATAGGATGTGGTACTACAAGAGTAGAACATGACTACTAAAATAGTTTTTAATGTAAATGCTAAGACAAATAAAACTCTTCTATTCTTTTATTTTCCAAGCACACTGGTTCGTATTAAGGGTAGGACTAGCTTGAGAATGGGCTGGGGGCCGATCTAGGATGTTGTACTACAAGAGTAAACCACAATGCCATAAATACTAAAACAGTTTTTAATGTAAATGCTAACATTTTAATCACGTTTGCGTTTTCATAAATGAGTATAACAAATTTACCTTTTCAACAAAAATCATGTTTGTTTGTTTGTTTGTTTGATTGATTTTATTTCTGCGTTCAAAAATATACAAATTCAAAGTCAAAGTACAAAATTTCGAACAATAACAAATACAATGAATACAATGTTTACAAAAGTAATTAAATGAAAAATCATGTACAATTATATCATTCGATAAACATGTACGAAGCATACAATAACATAAGAAATATGAAATATTTTCAATAAATTAGAGAGGTAATTCGGAACGCAGGAGACCATCATCGTGAGCGGTTAGGCTGGAGATGGATGGTGGCCTCGTAAAAAGAATTGGCGACATAACTCTCTTCGAAAAACTGAGTGATCAAGAGGGTGCGGTGCAAGTGCAGGTGCAGTGAGCAGTTGCATGATAAAGAATAAATAAGTCACAGTTTTGTTATACTAATTTAGAGAGGGGGAGCATATGATTGTATTATTTGTCGTTTAAGTGTAGCTTTTAAGGAGTAGATGGTTGAACAAGACTTTATGTTGTCGGGTAAATCATTCCAAATGTCCGGGCCAGAATGTCTAACAGATTTGTGTGTTATTGATAATTTGGGGTTTGTAAGATGGAAGTTTCCAGATATGCGAGTAGAGTATGAATGAACGGAATTATTAAACCTAAACATGTTATCAAAGGATGGTGGAAGCAGATTATTAATGTACTTAAACATAATAACTGCTACTTGAGTAGTGTTCAGATCGAAATTTTTTAGTGTTTTAAGTTTATAGAATAAAGGATCAGTGTGAGCTAAAAAATGCGAACCTGTACAAATACGTACGGCTTTCTTTTGCAGTTTGAAAATAGAATTGATTTTTGTTGAACCACAATTTGCCCATACACTATTACAATATGTTATATAAGGGAGAACTAGCGAATTATATAGTAGGAATAAGGTTGCATGGGGTAGAAGAAACTTTAACTTGGAGATTATTCCAATACTTTTGGAAATGCACATTGTAACTTGGTGTAAATGATCATTCCAAGTCAAGGTTTCATCTATAAGAACACCCAAAAACTTGGAATTAGTTTTCTTCTCTAGTAGCATACCATCGATTTTAATATATATAGGTGTTTCTGTATTATGAGAATGATGTTTAAAATACATGAAATGAGTCTTTTTTGTATTAAGTGAAAGTTTATTGGATTTAAACCAATCTGATACTTTGTTAATTTCATAATTCAAAGTATTGTTTAACGAATTAAGGTCTTTATGGGAATAAAAGATATTTGTATCATCGGCAAATAAGATAAAAGAAAGAAGGGGGGATGTATTGATAATATCATTTACGTAAAGAAGAAATAACAGTGGACCTAAGATGGAGCCTTGAGGAATACCGCATTGAATTAAAAGAGGATCAGAATCATAACTATTAAATGTAACATATTGTCTTCTGTTTGTTAAATAATCTTTAAACCATAAGAGTGGCTGACCCCGAATTCCGTAATGACTGAGTTTGGAGAGTAGTAGAATAGCGTGATTGAGCGTATCAAATGCTTTACTCAAGTCACAGAATATACCTATAACATGCTCCTTGTTAGCTATGGCACTTGTAATTTTGTCATAAATTTGAATTAATGCTAAGTCAGTTGAGTAATTTTTTCTGAAGCCATATTAATTTGAATTGAGTATTTTGTGTTTAGTGATAAATTTGTGTAGCCTATTATGAACGATCTTTTCTAAGACTTTGGATATACTTGGGTGTAGGGAAATTGGACGATAGTTACTAATTTCGTGAGGATCATCTTTTTTGAGAATGGGGTTGACTTTAGCTAGTTTTAATAGATCAGGGAAAACACCTTGCGATAACGAGTGATTAAATATGTGAGTTAAATGCTTTGCAAGTGGATACATTATTTCTTTTAGGAGAGACATACTTATTTTATCAAAACCGTGCGATTTTGAGTTGTTAAGAGATTGGGTAATGTTAATAATTTCGCTAGGATTTGTCGGATTTTTAAAAAGAGAGACTCTTGGTTTTGATTGGAAAGATAGTCTTTAAAGTGAGCGTGAGTTCTATTAATTTTGCTGGCGAGTTCAGGGCCGATATTCGTAAAAAATGAGTTAAATGAATTTGCATGAAGACTAGGATCATGTATTTTAGTGCCTTTTAATGTGATATTATCCGTGGGTGGGGGATTCGTTTTTTTTCCCATTACCTCTTTGATAATTTTCCAAGTTGCAGTTGTGTTTGAACTGGCCTTTTCTACGGGATGTACGGATAAGTTTTGTTAATTTGTTTCGATAAATTTTATATGTGTTTAGGTTAGTGTCAGTTGGATTGTGTAAATGTAATTTGTAGAGGCGATTGCGTGTTTGTATTGATTTCAATAAACCTTTCGTTATCCAAGGATTCCTGGGTTTATTTCGCTTATTACTCATTTTGCCTAAAGGAATATTCTTTTCATAATAATATTGCAATTTGTTACTAAAATGTTTGTATGCAGTATTGACATCCAATCCATTGACATGTAATTCACATTCCAATCTATACATGGTTGTTAATTTTTTTAATAAGGCGATGTGAAAGCAGTTTTAATTTTGTTATGTTTTGAGAAGAGACAATAGAAGGTACCAGTATGTGAATGGTTTGTTAAAGTGAAAAAATTGACAGGTTGATGGATTTTCCTGCCCCATTTGTCATGATCAATGAACTGAAATTTATCTTTATTTTTGTTAAAGGGAAATGTGTAAACATCTGTTTTTTTATTTTTCAAATCCTATGATATACCCCAACAAATTGTTAGTAATACCACACACTAATATTCTAAAAGTTGTGTCAAAGGCTTTACAGTTGACTTATTTACCATCTTGGAAGGAGATAGATCCACCAAACACCAGAGCAGCAAACTCTCCTACACTGAATCCTGCCGTGGCTACACAGTTCTCTATTGCCTAAAAGTAATAAGGTAAACATAGTAAGAGAAAATGTATATATTGTAAAGTGGTAAGGACAAAAACATCTAAACATACTCAAAAATTATTTAATTGAATAATTTTATTTAGATATGAATTTTGCAACACATAAAATAGAAAGAAAACCTCAACAATGAACACAGTTGCAAGGAAAGAGAGCTGTCACTGCAAACAAATGAATAATATGGGATAACAGATGAAATACAAATATTAATGGCAAGATTGGTCAGAATTTTATGAAAGGATCTTATAAGATCTTTTAAAGTATGTGAAAAATTGATTTGTCTTGATCTATGTTTCTTGAGAATATGACATATCAAAGCTTATATCTAAAAGTATTCACCAAAGGCCCTTATTCACCCAATCCACCTTTCATTCTTGACTTACAAAAAAAAATCCAAGGGGCATGAATAATTTAGTTGTTATGTTCAGAAATGCAGAACATCTGGTTTAAATTTTGGTGAATAGCATTCTTTCACTTAGGAAAAGAAGTTACTACCAACTTCAAAATGAAGATAATACAATTTTGTGTTTAACAAAATGATATTAGGTTTGATTAACAACATTATTTTTTTGTAAATAGATCACTCTTTTATGGCTGTCTACAATCTAGAAGAGGTAGAATATCTTTTCAGATATTGGTAGTGAGATTAAGTTTCATGATCGTGATTTGACACAACAGTTGGACATCCTCACAATATACATGTTAGGCTTATATCCTTCTACAATAAAATTACAAGAAAGCAAGTTTACCTTTGGTTGTTCATCTTTGAGTTTCTCTACAGCAGCTAGTGATGTGACCACCACAGCAGGCTGACAGTGTATGGTTCGATTGAGTTCTTCAACGGGTCCGTTCAGACATAATGCAAGTAGATCATACCTGGTAGCCAAATTGTAATAAAATGTATGAAAATGTACATTAGACATTTAGCATTCAAGGGGCAAATTTCTTGTTACTCCAAGCATGGTGGACATAACACGGGCCCATTCATACATATGATAAATTAAACATGCAAAAATGCTTTAATTTTCTTGCAATCCTATTAGTGTAAATTTGATGTTTATGCTGGATTTTAAAAAAAAAGATACAACTCAAACACAGATACTGTTATTGAAAAATTCAATGACATTTTTAAAAAGAAATCTTAATTTTGATACATCTTCATTTATGTAACTTTTATCCAAGCTATGTCTTCTACTTTCATATTTGGGCAAATGTTTATAACAGATTGAACTAAAATTGGACACATTTAAAGTTTCACTTATAATAATAAACAACTAGAACCTGAAATCAAATGTAATATGATCGTTATGACTATATAGTTGATTAATAAAATAAAAAATGTAAAAATAAGAAAACAGTTGACCGTGTAGCTTTTCATACCCAAGAATTTCAGATGCAACCGCAAACATATCTTCCACGTTTGGATACTTGAGCAAGTCTCTCCCCATTCCGACAAACTGAGAGCCTTGGCCTGGAAACAGAAGAACAGATGTCTCAGCAGGATCGATCCTAGGCTTACTGGGCTGCTGTTTCCTCTCACCGGGACTAGTCCCTAGGTCACCATCAAAGTCAAACTCATCTGGAATCTTCTTGTCACTCTTGGCTTCATCAAGTAATGTTCTTACCGATGCCTGTCTCTCCTTCGAAGCAGCTACCTCTTCGTCAGCCTCTCTGCTGCCCTCTGTAGAGGATGGTACATCAGCATCATCCTTTTTTCCACTTGTTGTATCACGATGTGAAGACGAGATGGAAAATTGATTTGAAGGTTGAACCCAGCCAATGCTAGAGCTCTGGTTGATTGAGAGACAGTCATTGTGTGTAATAGATAGTGATCTGTTGTGTCCGCAGAGCCGTTGATGAAAGTGACAATCTCCAACATTCTTCGGTCCATTGATAGATAATCGTCTGGAAGGCAATGATACACTATTCAAGCTGTGCTTTCTAACGGAAGTTAAAGTCCTTGTCAATGTGTGGCTACATCTGACGATAGGCTTCTGACCTAAGATGTGTCTTGATGTATGGTATTGCAAACACAAAACTGACCTCAAGAGGGTTATCTTGTCCATTGTACTCCAACAGTTAACAAATTCTGAATGAGGAGAGATAAAAAAGAAAAAAGGATAAAGTACAATTGAAAAATAATAACTGTTGGTATATGTTATTGGGGTTGACCACTACATCTAGTCATACAATCTTCATTGTGAATGTGAGACATCTGCAGATGCAATTTAAGTTTAAGACTTATAGGTCCCATTATATATTACACTCCAGGCAATTTTTTTTACACATTCCCTTGAACATTTAATTTAAAAAAAAGTTTTTACAACATAAATATAATGGGAATATACACACAATTTTACTTACAATGTCAATGGTTTAGTTAAGAATGACAAATCTTTGGGAGCTAGAGTGCTTTTACACCGCCACTGGGCGTGCTTCATTACATCGCACGAACTGGTGTCCTAATTACCACTCCTTAGACTCTACATATAACATGCTTGTGATGGAATGAAACACACCAGACGGCCGGGTCCTAGTACAAAGTACATTAGTGCCTTTCTTTGACAGAAGCCTAAAGGCCATTAAAAAAACTTTATGTTTTCGCGTCTGCGTCCTGCCTAGCCTTAAGGGCTCCCTTGAAATGTTTTTTTATATTATTCAAGGGAGCCTTAATTTGCTCCCAGAGGGTCCCGTGGAGAGGTAGGTAAACAACATCTCAAATGTGTCCAAAATCACATTTTCCCGCACCCGACCAATATTGGACAGTGGCTTTGATGAATTTTATGTTAGTTGTAATCGTAATTACATCCTGAATTTAAAAATCGAAGGTAAAAATAAGGAAATGATAGCAATTTTCTTACCAGACCGATACAGCTCAGCTCCCTTTTCATGTGTACCATGTGAATTCACAATCTCTACACAATGGTGATGACCTCTGACTGGCACTTCGTAAATGTGCCGCTTCCGTATAATGCGCTGAATAACACTCATACAGCGCATTATACGGAAGCAGCACAATCACGGAAGTGCCACTCAGAGGTCATCACCAAATTAAGGCTCCCTTGAATAATATTATAAAAAACATTTCAAGGGAGCCCTTAAGGCTAGTCCTGCCGCTTCCTTTTTGGGGCCGCGCGCCTGTTTTTTCTTTTTTCCCCCTATTATTCCAAACAATGCGAGTAGCAGAAGCACAGATATTGAACCTTTTATTGGTGTTAAATCCCCATTAAATCACAGCGAAAAGTATAAGTAATAAGTGAAGTTCCAAATTTAATAATAAAGTGAACAAATAACATAACTCGAGGCATAGCAGCTTGCAGTGTCGAGTGCAGTGTAAATGCAAAATCAGTTCCCAAATATATTCCACACATGTGCACATACACCATTCTCAACACAAGGGACCGATAAGAACATTTTCTATATTTCTTCCGAAATAAACCGAGCTAATAAAAAACATATTGTACAATATCAAATGTTCAGATTATTTTTGTCCTCTGTTGTAAATTACTATTATATATTCTGGTACATATAAGCTCACCTATGAGGAGAAAAACGAGGTAAAATGTCAGAAACCTTGTGGCCTACACGACAGATCAGCATGCAGCAGACATAATGCGAAAGATTGGACACTACCATTGAGTCATGGGGATTAGAATGAACGCTGTAAAATTTAGAAGAATATTTTCTCATTCGACATACCTATTGAAGGAATATTGTAATCTTTAATTAAAGGAAAGAAAATATTCATATAGATTAAATGGTAATAGATTAATTAAATAAAATCTCTTTCGAGGCAATGATAATCCATTCCAAACACAACATTTATTTATTTTAATTATCCCTCATTCTCATGTATTACCCCTACATAAAATGTAGTCGTCCATTAGCTGCCAAGCATTGTAGTGTAATGTTTCCCTATGCATTTCGTGCCCATGCACATGCACTGTCAGTGTGCACATGAGATAATAGATCGCAAACTCTAGCTTCAAGCTCGCCCAACTGTCGGCGGGGGTCTTCTTATCACACCTCGCTCGACTGCCGCCCACCGACGACTTCAGTGGTGGTGCATATGCTCCATATTACAGTGTTTAGACAATACACGCATGCCGATGATCCAGGCCAACGTCGAGATGAAGATGGCTGCAGCAGGAGTTGCTAAGTCGGGTTTGTTAGAGGTTCTTGTCCGTGATCAATGGTGTCGAATCCTTGCCGCACTCGACGAGGAGGCCTTGACGATCAGCCTCGAGGACGGGCACGACATCAACGGCGTAAGCAATGGAAATAACGACGGCGGAAACAAGACGAATTCGTCGTCTGCGGGATCGGGAGGAGGCAGCAACAACTCCAATCGTAACAACGATTCTATTCGCTATTCAGATTACATGCATAATCTGCAAGGAAGTGATACCATTCCAGACTCCATCGCGAACCAGAAGAGGATCATTAGGGTTGTCAAGCAAGAGGTCGGAGGATTGGGGATAAGCATCAAAGGAGGCAAGGAGAACAAGATGCCCATCATCATCAGTAAGATCTTTAAGGGTCTTGCAGCGGATCAAACGGAATCTTTGTACGTAGGTGATGCGATCCTGTCAGTGAATGGGGAGGATCTTCGAGATGCTTCTCATGATGAGGCGGTCAGATTGCTCAAAAGATCAGGCAAAGAAGTCACTCTTGAAGGTAAGGTCATGTCAGATGATTTACTAATTTAAGATGTTCCCATGTAATAAGTAATATTCATTTTTATTTGTAATGTTATGCACTTTTTTGTTCCAATGGTTCCATTTGTTTGTCTGGGTGTATCATTTCTTTACAACTTGATGAAGGTCCTTATTTGTTTGAGTTTAATATGTATTGTGTTCACTACATCATAATGTTGACAGGTCACCAAGTTTTCTTTACCATGTCATATTAATTTCTACATGTGTTTCTCGTTCTTACAATCATTTGATCATCACATGTGTCCATTTGATTAATTTGACATCACATTTCAATGACATTTCATGTTTTTAGATGTATCATGTATGTATACCGGTACATGTAGGTCTATGTTCATGAATTCATATGGTTGATTAACTATATCCTGCAGCTTCACAAAACCTTGCTCCATACTCTGTATCACTGAAGTTGCCAATAGACCGGTTTATGGTTATTTCCTGGGGACCTATCAAGAAAGTGTCCAATAACCTTGTCATAAATAAATGAAGTGCATTACTTGGAATCTTTTCTGCATACATTACTTGTTGCTATGTCGGGCAAGCTTTTGGGTCGTCAAGATCAACCTTTCTTTAAACAGTACGCATACAATTAATTGTGTCAGTAAATGGGTCTATTGCTTGTATTGGCTCATATTTAAAATAAAAAGCCGAAAACCTACATTGCAATTATTGTTAACCCATCGACACTTGGCGATAATGACTGAAAACAATAAATTAGGCTGATAGTGCATTGTAAAACCAAATGTTATAACACCCATTAACAACAAAATGTATGTTACAATGCAGTCTTCCATTCCAAAGTTCATGGCTATGTTTATTCTTCATTGTCGCTTGGAATGTGAGAATGTACTTGAACTTCACTCTGATCAAAGTAAAATGCATCCCATAAAATCTGGTATGGTTAATAATCTAGCAAGCGTTTATTATCATGTCAAAATGATTATTTTCTTATTTGTTTTGTTTTTCATATTAAAAGAACCCTTCACAGATCAATTGTCAAATGGTCTTCTCACAAGGCAATTCTGAGTTTGAAAGTATCATATTTTGTTTAGCTCGAAGCACACATTTAGAGAAGCTTTGTATCCTCCAGGGTACCATTTTTAACGGTGACTTCTAGTTTTTAATGAAGAAACTGTCATTTCTTTCAGGTTTAAGAAATTGATGTGGTGTTAGGTGTTAGCTTATGTTGTGCTCTTAAAAACCTAGTATTACTATGTGTATAGCTCCTGAACATAAACAACATCAATGTGGACAACAGAATACTCTTTCTGTGCCTGTTTATGAAGCTAGAAAAGTGATATATCAGAGTAGTTCCCGTTAAATGCCAACAAAGGTAGTTCATTCTATTGTGAATGTCAACCACAATTATGTGTGATTCATACATGTGTTTTGTGTCAACTTGTGAGTCAATCAATGACAATCATAATGTCTATCAAAAGGAGGACCATGAATAGTGGAAGAGAGAATCAATTGACTGTCATACAGAAAGATAGGTAGAACTGTATGCATTCAAATTCCAGGTTAGATTGTTTATGTTGATCCATTTTAATTTATTAAGTGGCTACTAGCTAGGCTCTTCATCCTTTCATGCAGTTGCAGCCAAAGAGAATTAAGAGATATATTGAAACGAGAGATAGAGAGAAAGAGGGAGAGAGAGCGAGCAGTGAAGTACAATGAAAAGATGACCTTGATGTAGTACTTCATTGGAAGTAGTGCCACCATTGATACACCTGCTGTCTTTGTGGTCTAACTAGGCGTACCATAAATTTGATGAATAGTCGGCACAATGTATTCACTATTCAGGGAATGGTGTTGAAAAGCAACTAGTAAAATCTAATTGTATAGTATTCAAGTCAAGGAAATTTGACTGTAAATAATGAATGAAAATCAGTATGATGGAAATTTTGGACATTGGCCAAATAAGAAAACTGATGAAAAGCTCTTTTTTAACAAAGATAATGTGTCTCCAAGCCCTCCATAACTACTAATTTTCTTTTGGATTTACAATATTTCTTGATTAAATAAAAAAAGACCCTTAGAATAGGGTGGCAATAAGCCCTGGAGGAATTGTTAAAGTTAGTGAAGAAATGGAAATCAGAAGTCATGTGTTTTCCTCAGGAAACATGCTGTGAGCTTTCAAAAGCAGAGGGAATTATTTATTAATGTAAATAGCATAGGCCACATGAGAAAACCATTATGAGAAGTTCCTTTCACCAAAAGTATGGAGCTCCATAATCTCTGAGGGTTTTCAAAATCCTCGGACATTGAAATAAATGAGGTCCTTCGAGTAATGAAGCCAGACCCCAGAGAAATCATTGAATGCAGCAAATAGGGGATAATTTGAAGTCATGTTTTTTTCTCCCTTGGGAAACATACTTGCATAATGGAGAGAGGATTATGATATAGCTAAGGCCAAACAAAGAAGCCATGATGGGAAACTCTTAAGTATAATAGAAGTGCTAAAGGACGTAGCTTTATAATTCCTACTGATGATGTCAAGAGTCCATACTAGACCTCATTCTATAAACTGATTGGAAGGCCCTGCCCGCAATTACATTGTGTATGTCTCTTTATAGCATGCAAGGTGACATCCTTGGAAAGTGATTGCATTTGTATCTTTTCTAAGCTAAAATCTATACAAACAGTAATAGTACAAGATGTATTGGATAAGATGATTAAAGCATATTACTATGCATAAAGAAGGTATAGCATTATATTGATGTCTGATTTAAACACAAAACAAAAGAATAAAATAAGAAATAAATTCTCACAGACAAAATCATGAAAATTTCAAGACTGCAAGATTACTGTAGGAATTTTCTGCCGCTCAAATTTGATGGAAAGTGTATTTAGTTGAGTTACATGTAACAAAGAAAGTTGGGGTGGGGGAAATCAAGATGATTTGGACTGTCTTTACAATATGGTACAATATGTGGGTTTGAGACTATTGTTTTCTTTTCATGTTCAATTTTTCTGCAAGTTTTTAGTGTTTGTATGCAATTTGCTGGTGTTATTGCATGTTACATTGTAGATAATTCAGTACCTTGGCCTTTTAGCCATTGTCCTCTGAAAGACATTTGTTGTAGTGTATTTATTTCTATTTGGGAACTGGTATTCAAACCAAGATGTATGGTAGTTGGTACACTCTAAACTTAATCAAATGAACTTTGAATCATATTGAGAATCTCAATTTTCAAAGACTTACAAGATATGGAGGTTGAACTTAGTTACAATGACATTCAAAGTGTGCTATAAAAATAGAACGAGTCTGTACAGGTGTATGTGGTAAAATCATTAAATGCATGAAAGTGAAACATTTTATAATGGCATATCAACATTCCTGTCTCCAGATCAGGAAATAATCAAGTTCTGAATAATATTGATGAATGATGTTAAATTTCTAAGCTAAGTCGGATAAGATAAAGACCTGCCCCAAGATGTTTATAATTCATTATCGTAAGCTTGTTTTCACTTCGCAAATCCCCATCCTTCCAAGGGAATTCCATTGTAATTTTATAATTCTGAGTTCCGTCTATATGACAAATACTCATGACAAGCCAGTGTAGTTCCAACGGCTGAGCATACGACACCTTCAGGGCATGTTCGTGGCATGCCATGCAGTATGAAATTTCCAATTTATGCATCAATACGGAGTGTGTGTATACTTCTGGTGTTCTATTGTCCGCGGTTGCACACCGTTAAATTTACAGAATAGAGAGAGAGATTGCGTAGAGAGATAGAAGGAATTTATCGTTGACAGTGTAGCACTTCGCTAAGAGCTGGATTGATGTAGTGAGGAATGTTGCAGTGCGACAAAAGATGCATAGAGCAGGCTACATGGTAAAATTTGATGTTCAAGGACATTTGGGTGTCTTCAATAAAAATGGGAGATCTATACAAAGGATGACAACGG